ACTGGGCCTAAGAAGTCAGGGTTGCTACCCACAACTAATGATAAAATTTCAGTTTGAAATCAGTAATTTAATGGAATGAGATTTCTTTTCATCTGAATTGGGAAGCATTCATTAAATACCTACTCGGCGGCAGACCCTCAGTAGGACCTCTCTGCCCTGCAGGGGAAGAAGCTCAGTAAGGCAAGACCTCAGCCTCCAGGCAGACAGTACCACAGTACAGGTGGGCAGTGGACCTGACGTTAGGGAGGAGGAGGCTCCCTGGAACTGGGAGGGGATGGAAGATGGGAGGGCTTGGAGAAGGCAGCAGCATGCAGAAACTCTCCGCATTCACTCGGAGGAGGTAAGGCCTTCTGATCACGTGAGTCAGTTTGCATGAATGCACAAAAGCCAGCCTGAAATATAAAGAAATATTAAGATGTGCAAGGCCATCTGTGGTTTTCCTTTAGTCTGGTTTGCTTAAGGGAAGCTTTCTTCATCCAAAATAGAACACGGGGGTAAGTAAGAAGCAAATCCTACCACTGTGCTCTGATCCCGTCTCCCACACATCTCCTGGCTGACCCCACCCTGGGACACTTGCTCCGCTGATTATCCCTGCTCTCTTCAGTCTCGAATTTCTCCTCTGTTGGTCCCTCATAGCATCTTCGAACTGGATCAACTATCTCATTAAAAAACAAACTATCCCCCTTCATACTTCCTTCTTCTCTCTCTCTTCCTCATTATGGCTAAATATCTTTAATATTGTCTCTATTGTCTGAGACTTAGTTCTGCTGCTGCCTTTGTTGCTGAAGAATGGGAGCAGAAGATGCGGGCTCTGCGTGGCCGGAAAGAAGGGCCCGGCCACAGACAGCCTTGCCTTTCTGTGCACTGACCAGTCAGGGATCACAGGCCTCACTCGTGCTGATCCCGTCCAGGTTTTAGGACAGAAAAATTCCAAATTGTCAAGCCCCTTGAAGGATCACAAACTGCACCATTTTCTTTCTTTTTTTTTTTTTTTTTGAGACGGAGTTTCGCTCTTGTTACCCAGGCTGGAGTGCAATGGCACGATCTCGGCTCACCGCAACCTCCGCCTCCTGGGTTCAGGCAATTCTCCTGCCTCAGCCTCCTGAGTAGCTGGGATTACAGGCACGCGCCACCATGCCCAGCTGAATTTTTGTATTTTTAATAGAGACGGGGTTTCACCATGTTGACGAGGATGGTCCCGATCTCTTGACCTTGTGATCCACCCGCCTCGGCCTCCCAAAGTGCTGGGATTACAGGCTTGAGCCACCGCGCCCGGCCAACTGCACCATTTTCAATGGCTTGTTTAACCAAACTTGAGAACTGTTCTTGACCCCACAACCTGGTATTGTCCCAGAAAGTTTTACCCAAACACCTGGGACTGCTGTCTTTCACCTCTCAGATTTGGAAGAGGATGAAGAGGAGGTAGCACTGTATACTTCAGTAGCCATTTCAGTGGAACAGAAGCGTTCAGTGGCCAGGCAACACTAGGCATCCTCTCACTACCCACGCTTCAGGATGGGGACTGGTTACTATTGCAGCCTCAAACCCAGGAAAGTGTCTGTCATAGACAACCGAGCCTTTTCCCTCCCCGCCTCCTATGAAATAGTGTATGTCTCTGAAATCACTCAGGTTGCCCCAAGCTCAGTCTCCTTTTATAATTCTGGGAGAAGTTGTCATAGCAGTTTGCTTATCACAGTTATAAATTCTCCTGCCAGGTACTACAATTCAGCATGGCTGAATCCACAAAATGTATGGTTTAAGACTTTCACGAAATCCTCCAGACGTGGGCCAGCGGAAGAGGAGTTTAGCAGACGGATGAAGACATTAGAGAAAGCTGGAGTGCTACAGTCCTGATGCTCAGGAGAAGGGAAGCTGCCAAGATGTGGTGGCTTACCTCTGTAATCTCAGCACTTTGGGAGGTCAAGGTGGGCATGACACTTAAGCCCAGGAGTTTGAGACCAGCCTGGGCAACATAGTGACATCCCATCTTTACAAAAGAAACCTGAAAAATTACGCAGGAGTGGTGATGCATGCCTGCAGTCCCAGCTACTCAAGAGGCTGAGGTGGGAGAATCCCTTGAGCCCATGAGATTGAGGCTGCGGTGAGCCATGGTCATGCCACTACACTCCAGCCTGGGCAACAGAGTGCGACCTTGTCTCAAAATAAAAAATAAAAATAAATGCAGGTAGCAGTTTATTGGGTGAATTGAAAAGGAATCAGCCTTTCAGTCATGAGGGGTAGCTTCTGACCTCCACCATGTACATCCCCAGCAAAATTAGGAAGGCATCTTGTAGGACTGGGATGCAGCAGTTACATGACCTCTTGTGCAAATTAACATACGAAAAGTTATGCGCTGACCGAAACATCTGTTCTGGTCTGATTTGAGAGAAAAGAAATGTGGCAAAAACTTCCTGCATATGGAAGTGGAGGAATGGACACGGAATCTAATGAGGCACTAGAGGATGAGATCTGGTGAAGGGAGAGACTGTGTATGAAAGAAAGGTCCATGAGTCTATGGAACCAGCAAAGAGTGAAAGTTTTAAGTCACTTCATCAGTTGGGTTTTCTTGCCTTGGAAAAGGGGGAATAGAAAATGATTTGGTAACTCTTCCCTCTTTTACTTTCTTTGGAAGGGATTGGGTAAAGTATTATTTCTTCCTCATATAAGTAGAATTCGTTTTTTAGGATTTTTTTTTTTTTGAGACGGAGTATCACTCTGTCACCCAGGCTAAAGTGCAACAACACAATCTCAGCTCACTGCAACCTCTGCCTCCCGAATTCAAGCGATTCTCCTGTCTCAGCCTCCTGAGGAGCTGGAATTATAGGCGCCTGCCACCATGTCCAGCTAATTTTTGTATTTTTATTAGAGACGGGTTTCACCATGTTGGCAAGGCTAGTCTTGAACCCCTGACCTCAGGTGATCTGCCCGCCTTGGCCTCCCAAAGTGCTGGGATTACAGGTGTGAGCCACAGCATCCGGCCTAGAATTAGTTTAGAAAGCCACTTATCCTAAAAAGGGCATATGATAATATCATGTCTAGACTAAATTCCCTTGACTACTTAAAATCTTTTGCAAGCTCAAAATAACTGCTCTAGACTCGTTCTGGGAAAAGCGATAGTAGTTACTTTGTGCTATAGTTCAGTAGCTAAGGTTTTACACTTTCACATTAGGGGCCTCAGTTTAGTTCCTGGCTTTGGCAATAAGCCCTTTCTGTGCTGATAGTTGTGGGACTTTTGCCATTTATTATTTCCCCCTCCATGGAGAGCTGTTGATTTTCTGTCCTGAATTGCTTATATATCAGATCTTTAACCAAAAATAAAGGTTGCTAAGGGTTAACATTGTAACATGTACTTCAGATTACTGGAGGAAGTTTTACATGCACGGTGTATAAGGAAAGTAGAATGTGCTTTCGGCAAAAGGCTGTAAGAAGGTATGAAAATGTGGTTTTTGTTGTAGAAGTGTAATTTTTTCTAGTTCAGAGGTTAAGGATTGTCCTAACCTAAAAGAGTAATAAGACAAACTTAAAGGTTTAAACAAGTTGTAAAAGATTTGTGAAAGACTGATCTTATAAAAAAATTCTGTGGGTATGAGCAAGTTGGCTAAGATTTGAAGGGGATTACTTAGTTCTTCCATAATTTAAACATAAAAGCACACCGATGCAGGGCCAGAACCTGAGCCAATGTGTTCAAATAACAATGTGTAGTTGAGAGTCGGCCTACTGTTTAACAGAGAATTGAAAAGGATTATAGAAGGCTTATAAAAATTTTACAGTATAAGGTGTTTTTTTTCTTTTTATCATTTTTT